TTTTTCATTATACATTCTAACGAATATATTTTTCATCATTTAAACCGTAATTTTAACAAATTTTTTATTCCAAAATGCCTCGAATTTATTGTATTTTTACCTACCAGCTCTTGTCATTGCATTGTAGAGTTGTTAGCCTAAAACGGAAATTTACCAACTACATGCAAAAAAAACAGGATCATTGGTTTAATCGAAGTTAAGAGGGAGGATTTGTGAAGGGATTTGTTCAAGCATCCGTACAAATGAAATCGTCCTTGACGGGACGAAAGCGTAAAGCCGAAGAAATAGATAATGAGCGAGTTGTAGACAAGGTATTCGTTATCGTTACCGATGCAAGAGAATGGTATTGTATGGAATATATTTTAAATGAAGAAAGAAAACCTTCGTTTAAGCTATCAGAATCAGTGAGTGTCGTGTATAAAAGTGATAATATGCAAAATATGGTTGAAGGGGTCTTAAGTCGTATTGTATGGTTGCTGGAAGAGGCACAAAAGCCGGTGGATGCTTCGCAAATTGATGAGCAAACGAGGGTACCAAAAAAGTAAAGTTCATTGAGTAATCTTGCGGGAAAGTCGAATATAGGTCTTATAGAATAAAAAATAATCGTGTATATTAGTTCGCAGTCATAGTCATGTATCACGGGCTGTGTCACGCTATCATTGTACATGTATCAATAAAAATTTTTCTTGGCATTTTACCGGGACCGCTGATCTCGGAAATTTCTTGGCAAAAGTGATCGTCGACACGTGCACATTATTTTTTAATCTATCGTTCCTAAATCAAACTTTTTGATCCAAAAGCAAAACAAGATGTTTCATCTGACATTGGAAGATAAAATGGGATATTATTTTGATCCATTATAATCATGGTATGAATATTGATGTTAGTCAGAAAATCGCTCGGTTCAAATTATAAACCAGTTGCATAACTGATCGGATCAATCTGTATTGCATTCAATCCTCATAACAAAGCCAGGGCGTAGGATCGATTTCCAAACACGGGATGAAAAATTAGGATCAGATGTAATATAAAAAATTCAAAAAAAACGCTCATTTTGGAATAAAAAATTTGTTAAAATTACGGTTTAAATGATGAAAAATATATTCGTTAGAATGTATAATGAAAAA